GACGCCGAAGGGTGAAAAAAGCGGTAAAATGTAAGCAATGTCTGCCAAGCTTTTAGGCACCCGCGAGCCTGATATCAGTCCGGCTTAACATCGGCCCAAATATCTGCAGTTTCAGTTCTGCATAACTAGTTATTTCAGAGAGGACCCAAATTGTCGTACTAAAGATACTGGTCTGTATTCTTGTAGGAACAGGCGTATACTACAGTCTGTTAACCGCACTTGATATCAACACTTAACCTGACGAGGAGTCGATGATAGAATTCCTTCTCGAGATACTCGCCTGGTTCTTTTCGCCAGATTGCAGTATCTTCTCGCCTATACTTGTCTCGCAATTTTTGCCAATCTTCCAGCTCTTGTGCCATCACTTTGCGCATCCGCGCCTCCATTCGCTTCACCACCCGGCCTTGTCGTCATTGTCGTGCTCTGAGACTCTCTTCGTCCGATGTCTCATCGGCGGACGCCGAAGACGAGCCCGCTTCTGAGTCGGAGTGGAAGTTAGTTCTCTGCTTGGGTCTCTGCTTTCTTCTGCCGAAGAGCTCCCTATCTTTCGAGCTCCTAGCGAAGGAAAATGCTACACTCGCCGGCCGTCTAGCATTCCTCGAATCGCTTTACAACCCAGCCTCGCTTCTTGGGCACCATCTCGCTGTCGATCCGAGGTAGTCCATTGATCGGAGGTTAAATTCCACGACAGGTATGGCGGATGGGGCGATATGCGGCAAACCGGGCGGGTCTTGGGCGGCCCATTGCTCTCGAAGGCGGACCAGCTCCTCCTAGATTTCGGTCTCAGAGAGGTGGAGGAGACGGTCCGGCTGCACCATATAGGGCATATAATGGTCAAGGAGTGAATCAGGAGCGAGCTGCCACCCATCGGCAGGATGGTACTTAGTATGAGATGCTGGCAGTGGGTCGGGCACGGTCTTAAATTGCTTGTAGTATGCGTGGAGGCCACGATGGAAACTCGGCCACCACACAAGGTCCTTGCAAAAGCATGGCAGAATCTTGCAAAACAAAGCAAGAACGGTCCTTGCCGCCAGATCTCTCGGCGTTCGATCGGAACCTGGCATGTCCCGGCGACTATATATTACTTTTGTCGCTGGTTCAGGTGGACATGGATTGGAATTCAGCTACTAGCTCTATGGGTACCTGGGAAAGACCGGTCCGACGTAAGGCCACAGTGATCAAAATGGCCAGCAATCCCAACTTCAGCTACCTCCCGGTGTGGCGCGCGGCTATGACAATGAAAAGCCCAATCGATCTGTGCACATGGAATCTGATCCTGCCCAGTGTCAAGTTCCCACCTAGCAAATGATGTCCTCCCAGGAAAACCAGGTCACTCCGCCAGAGCTGTCCATCATGAAGCCATTGGAGTACTGTAAGGTTGGTGTTGTCAGGGAGCGTAGTTGTGCAGAAACTACTCGCGGATAAAACCTCCTGGAGGTGGTGGAGGTGGGAAGACAGCCAAGGGGATAATCTCCTAGCGGCGCTTCTTGCGGGTGAGAATGGCAAGGACCTCAGTGTTGGAGCTCTGCGCCATAGTGTCAATATCCTCGCCAGGCTGGAGCGCCAGTCGTACACGACGGTATTCGCGAACATCCTCGGGGAAGCCAGTGGTATTTGTTGGCATGGTATTAAGCCGAACCTCAAGACTGTGGTATCGGTCTGCCCGTGCCTGCTGGAGCCATTGATGGACCGGCTGATCTGTCCGGGACAACGCTTGGGCCGCTCGAAGGATGCCAGGACGTTTGTCGGCCATGCCCATTTCCTGCCAGGGAGGGAATTGGTGGGTTGTGACTCGAAGGCGAAGGGCGTGTGCTATCTGGTTGAGCTCATCTTGAGCAAGTCTCTCATCGTTCTCATGGGCAATATACTCCTTGAGGGCCAGTTTGACTGTGTCTCGTGGCGGTGCGGGGGTGGGAGTAATACGATAGGCGATGCCAAGAGTTGCTCCGTAGGTGGAGGGAGATGGCCAGGTGAGTACAATACGACCATCGGGAAGGAGGAAGTGGTTGCGTATCATCGTGAGTAATGTACGGCGGCGATCGGGTTCGAGGAGCTGGATAACCCAGCAGATAAAGACAACATTAAACTGAATAGGAGTAGGATGAGGGACGTTGGCTGTGGGTCCTTGGTATGTGGAGCCTGGGGTCAAATGAGGTAGTTTGAGTACCAGGTTGGTCCAGTTTCGGGCAGTCTGAATGCCATGGCGGAGGGTATTGAAGCTGGTGATGTCAGCTTTGGCAAAGGCGACGTTGCTGAGCTGTTGGTGAGCAGCACCCCTGACAGCGTGTACACAAGATCTGCCGCTGATGTCAACACTAATGGCATAGTGGCAGGACGGCGCAGCAAGATGAGTATTCCAGCCAACACCGCAGCCAAGATCGAGGACGGTATCGGTAGGTTGAAGTTCAGCCATTCTGATAAAGTATGGGAGGGAGAGACGGTGGAGAGCATATTGGAAGTCGTAATCGTCGGCGATCGTGTTGTAGATGTGCTCTGCCTCATTGGGGCTCTTGTAGGCAGTAGCAGGTTCGAAATCAGGAGGAGGAGGAGGAGGAGGAGGAGGAGGAGGAG